CCCCAAAACCCCAAAACCCCAAAACCCCAAAACCCCTGAACTACAATAATTTGTGAGTTCTATAGTGATTTATAAAAATAGAAAAATGAGTCAATAATAATTAAATGCCTTAATCAGGTATGTGTATGATATAAGAAGATAATAAACTATACAGGTAGTCATGAAAATATATATCAACCTTTTCGTTGAAAAATTGTGTTGATTTCAGCTTTTAAACGATCCAATTGATTTATTGACAAAATATTGATTCCCAACTACTGCATTATGATAGAATAGTTATTATTAGTTAATGATGCTTCCTCCACCACCCATTGAAAGATTGCTTGCTCCGTTGTTGAAGGATTTCTGCAATTAGTTTGAAGGAATGGATGATATATTCGGTTATCTACTTCTATCATTCTTCCCTAATAATGCTAGTTGTCTTTAATCCTGAGAGCTCTATTTGACCTTTCCTGGCCCACCACTCGTTTAAGGTCTTATTTTTACACTAGAAGTAATAGATTCTTTTTGCTGATGAACTGATTATTGATGATGATTAACTGATGGCTGCAGTATTGAGCCATTTGTAACAGTTGGACCACCAAAACTTTTTCGATAGTTCATATTACCTGAAGTGACTCTCTTTTATTGAGCGCTTGTCAGTAAATTCTTTCCATTTTTAATGCTATTTATCAAATTCGAGCTCCTTTGTACACTCTAGAGTAAATCCTAGGTCTTTTAAGAATAACTAGTTTTAACGTCATGAATGCCACCTCGGTTGTTTCGAGAATATTAATTATTTGATGAAACAATGCCTCCACTTATATCAATTGAATCAATTATTAGCTAAGCCTTTTTCTTAGTTTATTTTTGCTATTACTAAGTCAAAGCAGAAGGTTACTTTTACTTGACAAAGTATGGAGATAACTCATCAGCTCCCATTATTTTATTGTTGTTATTACTATGAGTAATTGAATTGCTTTAATTATTATGACTCATAGCACCAGAAAATCCTTGAGAGTTTCTAGTTTTTCGCTAAACTTACTATTCAACTTTCCCATTTCCATAAGATGTCTATTAACTTTATCTTAGGACTTAACCTTATGCCTTTTTATAGAAAGTATCGATTTACTATTATAGCTAGGGCTAAATAGAAGATTACATCTACTACTAATTATAAATAATCTGAGGTTGTTATTTTGTGGCACTGCTTGAATAATTCGAGTTTCGGAATTATCTCCCAGCAGATTATTAGTTTATATGATCGTTATAAGCATTAGTCAAATTTTACACGTCATTCATTGGCTCAAAGTTTTTCCTTTCAAGAGAGTATGCATTAACTCCTCCTGAAGCTCTTTTTGCTCCCGCACTTACTAAATCATTTCTTTTGCTTTTCTTGTTGTAGACATCTGGTGACTTATTGATGAGTAAATCTTTATTAGAACCTGAAACAATAATGTGAGGTTGCTAATTTTGATGCAATTTCTTCATATCTGATTGCTAATGTTAACTGCCCTTCTTTCTATGTTGCTACTAATTCTGATTTTATTAGTTCAAGATTTGCTAGATCAAAGCTAGATTTTACTGCTAATTTTGAAATAATTGTTGCTACTATTATTAATGATGAGGAACAGCCACTCCTCGTTATGATTGATTTTTATCAACTAGCAAATTTTATGCTTTTTCATGAGATTTGCTTCTAAAGTTATTATTGACTCCCATTTTCTACTTGAGCTCATTAATGTAGTTCTAAATGTTCTTACCACTTAACCAATCTATCTTCATATTTTCTGCCAGTTGCTATTGATTAAGGTGAGAGTTTGCATTGATTCCACCAACCACCAGATTAAGTTGATTGCTTTGCGAATCATTTTAGTTATACCCTCTTATTTGTCTTCGCTAAAGTGAAGTAACTTGGTTCTAAGATTATAATTATATCCCACCTACAGTATTTGACACATTGTTAACTTGATTCTATTGCGGCTACTGCGGTTGATTACTCTAACCCTAGCCAATACTTTTTCTGTTATTACTCTAGCTATTTATGTTGGGCTAGGCTTGCTTGGATCGAGTTGATTCAGATTTCTTAACATTATTATTGATATTGGTTTACTTTGGTGTATCAGAAGTAGTTTCGAGCCCTAGCTCCTTATCAATTTACCTTCTTAGTTCTTTTAATTTAGTCATGCGCTTGCACAAATCATAATACTCAAAGTGAGCTCCAGTTTCTGGGCATTGATATTTCCTGTTAGGATCATCATTGAAATATATTCCCTTGAAATTTTTATAATCTATATCATCTACATCTGAATCTGCAGGCATTCCTTCCTTATCCTAACCATCATATTCTTCATCATCCTCTTCATGTGTTTAGTCATCATTATCATCGTCATCGTTATCTTATTGCATAGCATAGGCCATAGCAAGAGCATTCTAAACATCATCGTCATCAAGTTGATTTAAATCTATTGGTAAATCATCTGAGTCATCATCATAGAGGACTCCCTCAGTTACTGCTCTTCTAGCTGCCATTCTAAAATTTAAGGATCTTTTATTAATAATTTATTAACTGTAACAATTAGTTTTTACGATTTATGATTTTTCTTATTTTAGAATAACGGGGTTTTGGGGTTTTGGGGTTTTGGGGTTTTGGGG